CTCATGAAGAGAACCTCCAAATTTCCCCTTCATCGAAAAAAGACACAACAAACAGCTCACACTAGGAGCCTGATGGGATCCAAGGCAGTCTTGAGCCTCACCTACTGTTTGAGGGTTACCTCAATGCACCCTTTGGGGAGACTCCCACACCTCTCAGAGTTCGCTAGTTCTTCGGGGTTCTTGGAGTTTTCTTTACAGTAGATGCCAGAGTCTTAGTAGTGGTACATGCCTGTAATCCCAGGACTTGGAACCCTGAGGCAGGATGACAGCCACAAGAGCAAAACCATCTTGAACTACATAGTGCGTTCCAGTCTAGTTTGAGCATCTCACACTACCAAACAAAACACAAAAAACAGCACAACTAGGGCCAGAGCTCAGTTGTTGTATATAGCATACCCACAAACTGCTCACACTAGGAACCTGATGGGATACAAGGCAGTCTTGAGCCTCACCTACTGTTTGAGGGTTACCTCAATACACCCTTTGGGGAGACTCCCACACCTCTCAGAGTTCCCTAGTTCTTCGGGGTTCTTGGAGTTTTCTTTACAGTAGATGCCAGAGTCTTAGTAGTGGTACATGCCTGTAATCCCAGGACATGGAACCCTGAGGCAGGACGACAGCCACAAGAGCAAAACCATCCTGAACTACATAGTACGTTCCAGTCTAGTTTGAGCATCTCACACTACCAAACAAAACAGAAAAAACAGCACAACTAGGGCCAGAGCTCAGTTGTTGTATATAGCATACCCAGGTCACTCACTTGGCACTTCCCCAGCATGGAACGTAATTGGAAGTGAGGTCTGTGCCTGTCATCCCCACACTTGGTGGTGAACACAAAAGGATAGGCATTCAAGGCTAGAAGATTGTGATACGGGACCCTCTTCGTTAAACACAATCATCCACCAAAAGCCTTAATGTTGAAATTAGAGAAAGCATGCAACTCAGAAAACCCTTGTATTTCAGGCTGGAGAGATGGCTCAGCAATTAAGAACACTGGTTGTTCTTGAAGACCTGGGTTTGAATCCCAGCACCCACATGGAAGCTAACAAGTGTCCATAACTCCAGTTCCACGGGACCGGACAGCTTCTTCTGTCCTCCGTGGGCATTGCACGACATGGGTACAATGGCCTACACACAGGCATTACATGAATACACGTAAAATAAAAACTAAAAAGAAAAAAAAATTAAAAGGAATGTTAAAAAAAAACAAAAAAAAAAACTTGTATTTCTCATGAATCACAGAGTCGCTGTGGTGAGAAGTAGAGGGCCTGTGGTTTATGGCTGGAACAGGGTTAAACACAGGGCACACTCAGCATGCATAGCAGAGGGGAGAGTACCTTGCTGGTCCTATGGAAGGCAGAGGGGGAAAAAAGGGATTGCAGAGCCAAGTAGGACTCCCCCCAAATCCCCATTTGGGCCAGTTCGGGAGGGGATAGAGGCTGCCGGCTTTGCATCAATCAGAAACTATGTGCTGCCCGCCCCTTTGTGGTGGCTCTACAACTCTATGACCCATGTCCTGGTTTTGCTGAAGCTTCTGCCTCAGTTCATGCCTGGAGAGGGAAAAACCAGCTCCTTATTTGGGGGGGTTGTTTATTTGAGGCAGCCTCTCACAGTGTAGTCATAGCTGCCTAGGAACTCACTGTGCAGACCAGGCTGGCACCATACTC